ACTTGTATCGGATATTGAATAATGATGACTGCTCTCCAAATATCTGGGACAAAGTAGCAACCGCTTCATCGAATGTTAAATCAGTGCTCTTTTTCGGCAAGATGAAATTCATAAACTTTTCGTGTTCGGCCGCACCCAATTTCCGCAGCATGAGGCGTACTCTCTTGTCCTCTGAAGCACCGGCTAAATCAACGCGAAACTGGTCTTCGTATTTATGGAACCACGATTCAAAGGTAATACCGGCATCAGCATCGTAACGGAATTCACAAACTTGCTGGGTCAAGATTTCTGCTGAGGGGCAACCTTCACTTGTTCCTTTTACCGAGCCTGCCTGTAGTGACAAATTCTTGGTCAGCGTTTCGATCAATTTGGCCTGTGCTTTCTCAAACTGCGCCTGCTGTTCCTGAAACAGAGATTGCAATTGCTCAAAACTGACTGACATCTTTGGGTTCTTCTGACTCCTGTCGCCACTGTTGTAACGCTTCTGCTTTCCCTCTCGAGAGAGAGGGAAGAGAGAGACGTGAGCGGAGCTAAAGTTGGGTATCGACTGAGAATTGATCGGCCAGCAATTACCAGTCCGCGTCAACCGAATCGAACTATACCGTCAATATGATAAACCCGTGGAGCGAAACACACTCACACTGGCTGAAAACCGGACGCACAAAAATGAGCGATATTGACCTCCTAAATTAGCATGTTTCAGCTGCCTATAAATACAGTTCACTTATGGTGTAGATAGACTCCCTGTTTACCGAGCCTTGGTCTTCTGTATTCCTCCGGTTGGCTGGGCGCGTGACTGAGAAGTCAGACAGTTGCAGTCTCACAGGGCAGCAAGGCAAGCAGTACAACAGTTGTCAGTGACAGAAAGCGAGAGGGAAAGTAGAAGCGTTACAACAGCATTGTCAGACAATTTGAAACTGCTATCTTACACGCTGATTGCGATTGTCATGCTCTTATTTCAACAGGTAGGCGGTTCCAACTTCCAGTGTATCTGTTTACGTATAAATTTTTTCAAATATTAGTTCTCTTTTAAAACTGCATTCGTCAACGGGAGGCAAATGGCCCCATGGGGCCACCACTGTGTGACAATTCTTGTACTCTTCAGCCTTTATCATTGGGTCTCAGTTCAGCAGCGCTAGGTTACACAATTTTCGTCTCCTGTCTCAGCTTGCTTGCACGTCTAGTGGCTAGTCGCGTTATCCCGTAATATTCCGAATTCGGGTGGCTACTCTGCTCGCGTTGAGTACTATCTCTGAAGAATATTTGTTCGTCCCGACTAAGAGTTGAAACAGCTATTACGCGTTATAACGCTTTCTTAACATCCAATTCAGCTGAACTTTTCCAATTAGCGAGCAGATTTGCTAATTTACCACACCTGTGGACATCCGGTTTCTTTGATTAGTATATAACATAGTGTACATAATAATACTTCTATCACTTATGATAATCAGATGCCTTGACAGCACGCGTTGGGTACCATGTTTGGCAGTGGTCGATATAGGTTATTAGTTTCGTTGTTGACACTCCTGTGTCGGTTTCTTGAAGTATCCGGTATTTTCTTCTGTGTTTCCGTTCTTCATTTTATCTGTTGCCACTGTTTACTACAACTTTTATATCATGCATGCGTGTGTCCAATGAGCGTTGTCCTTTACCGAGTTCCACTTGTTTCATTGTCTTTTGTCAAGATTCTTTAGCTATCCACAGTATCTTCGAGGTCATCTTCAGAAACAACCTTTGGGTTGCCTCTAACAGTCTTTCTACGCTTTTACATTCAAACATTACTGTCACTAACGGATATTACAAGTATGCTTAACAGACGTCTTCTAATCTCACGGTCAAGCAAGAGTAGATTTATCACCACCAATCATTCATACTGCCTGCGTGTTTCGCCTTGTCGAATGATGCTTTTGATTCCCATGTAGTGAAAATAAAACAATAGCAATATTATGTTACATATTAACAATTTAAAATGGCATATTTCAGAAATATCGGCAATACTACGTGGAATACCTGTCATTTGGATTTATTGCATCACCTTAACACCCAAGTCTGCCTCTGTGTTTAATATGCCAAAAGTACCTTAGTTGCGTTACTATAGTCCCATCCCAACCTCCATTACTAGCGTTCCTTCTGTATTTCCTTGCCTACCGGACAGCAGCCCTAATACCATTGGAGTCGAATCATCTGCAGCTGCCTTCGCGCACCACCCACTGGACGTCCATCGGCAAAAGACCCTTATAAGGCCACGTTATCCCGTTCCCTTGGTGGCGTTCAACATTGGCACTATAAGACAAATAGGTCGATAGGCTGCACTCACATGCACGTTGGACACACTGGGTATTGTTGCGTATTCTAAACTGGGATCAATGATCCTCACGGGGTTGTTGCATTAACTGCACCCGACTTGTCTCGATATCGGTTGCACTCATCCGGAGACGCTGGTGCGGCATTCACAGGTCAAGCTGCTGTGGGCCTCGTTCTCAGCTGCTCGGCTAAGTCCACGTTGGTTCATTGGATTCCGGTGAAGAGCCTTTTTTGTTAACCCGGTTGGTTGATTCAAGACGTGGTTTGTTTGTGATTTCCGCTTATGCCCCCATCGCCTGCAGTTTGATACTGCTAAGGACACGTTCTACCACGAACTGAACACGCTACTACTCATTGCTCCTAGTTCAGCTATCATAGTACTTGCAGGGGATATGAATGTATAAGTAGGTCGCCTGGGCTCACCTAGGTGGTAATTACAGGCTTGACTCCTAACGGACGGACAACGGCGCACGTCTGTTGCACCTGTGTGCAGAACACCGGCTGTTTCTTAGGTTGGAGTTCTAAACGCGATCACATCCTTCAATCGTTTTCGTGTTACTGGCCAGGATTCCTTCCCACCTGCACCATCTAAGGATGGAAGTGAGGTCCTCTGCAAAGCACTGACCTCCCTGTTCGAACATGTCTAGAAGGAGGAGACCGGCCCGGCTAACTGGAGTGAATCGACTGTAGTGGCAATATACAAGAGAGGCAGTCACATCGACTGCGCTAACCTCAGAGGTATTATCCTACCACCAGTTGTGAAAAAATTACTGGCCCCAATTCTCGTTCGTTGGCTCACTGCGAAACGGGAATCCTGGATTAGGGAAAGCAAGCAAGCTTCCGCCTAGGACATGGCTGCGGCAGATTCTGGAGCAGCGCCACAGACCGACACTAGCTGTGTTCCACGATTTCAAGAATGCGTTTGATTCAGTCGATCGGTTCGTTCAGTTTGAAAACTTGCGCGGAAAGATGTTCCCATGAAATATGTGGATCTTTTACGTGACCTGTTCTCAAACACTACAGACCGCGTCGGGGTCTACTGGGACCTGTCGAATATCTTTCCGACAACAAGTGGCGTTCTTCAGGGCTGTCTAATTTCTCCTGTTTTGTTCAGTTTCATCGCAGACTGCAGCATGGAGTGTTCCCTTGCGGAGCCTCGGTGCAGGCGTTGAAGTGAAAGGGCAGTTGATCTTGATAATGCGGGCGATATCGTCTTGCTGTTTAACGATATTGAGACGACACAGTCAACCCTGAATAGTCTCTCCAGGGTGGTCAAATTGCGTTGGATTCCTTGATCTCGACTTCGGTGCATCCTGGGAAAGTGACCCTTCCTCTGTACATTGCCAGAATGCCCCTCACGGACAACGCTTCATGCGCTCTTCTTGTTTCATACCATTGCATCGATGGTTGAGCTGTTCGGTATTGAACCAATCATCCTGTTTGCAGTTTGCTCGCATGTCCATCTACTCAGCAACAATGATCACGCCCTGCTTCAGATAAATAAATATAAATAAATAAACTTTTATTCTCGACCATGCGAGACACACCTTTACAGGCATGATCATGTTTAGCTAACAGTGTGATCAAAAATGTACAAAAGTACATGTTTGGCATAACAGCGTATGTAAGTGTATTGGTGTATATACGTATGTAATTGTGTATGAATGTAGCTTGTGTCTTTGATTGTGCCGCAGCATTTTTGACTGTTTTTTATCGTCAGGAATGTGAGCATAAGCGATTGATGTCCTTGGGTTGGATAGCACTTTCCGGATATCCGCGGGCCAGTGACTTTATTTTGTGGCGAGTCACATCCGCCACGTCGCAGTGTTGATAAGCAGACATTTGTGGCTTTTTATAGGGAGAACGCTTGCCAGGCGAAAACCCACCACGTCCTGGAACACTGCCGCCGAACTATTTGCTGGAACGGGTTAAACCCGAACCACCCAGCTGGCACCACGAGGAGGTTGTTCGGCTAACCAGCCAACCGCAGAGTTCTGACTGAGGCAATAGTGCCGGCATGCCAGTCCACTTCGCATTCCTATACATCCAAGGGAGATAGAGGCTGTATTTATACTGGTCTGCGGTCATGTAGCGGTGCCAGATGCTTTGTTCATCATGCGGTTGGTGGTTTGGGTTCAAGCAATCCAGCTAGACTCAACCGATCTGTGGATAGTTGCCACCACATTTAGTGCGATGCGAAGCATTGAATCCTCATTGGCCGTTTAAGGCCACTCCATCGATAAAGATCCGTATTTACCACGCGAGACCGATGACTCGCCAGAAGATTCTCTTCTGTGCTGTGGTCAGTTTTGCGTGCATCTGGATAGAGGTCTATTTAGAGCTAGCTCGTGCCTTCTAGTCACTTGGTTGCGATTGCACAGGGTAAAGGAGCACCCACATGTATGGTTTTCACAACACTACTCCGCACTGAATTCGTTGTTGGAACACCTTGCAGCATAATCAGATTAGACGACTTTTCAGTCAAGCATAGACAACGTTGAACGGTGCATCTGATTGAAAAGTAAATGTATCAGAAATGACATTCGTTGATGCGAATTCGAAGTGCGCTCACTTCCGGTAACGCACGTCTCAACCGAAACTACATGTTCTCTTTGGTGTAGTAGCAATGATAATTATTATTACCGTTACGTGACAAAGATTCCTCGTATTCATGATTTCTTTTTACACTCTTGTAGCAGTCGGACACTCAGCTTCAAATCACCACGCAATTGCACAAAGATAAGCTGATCCAGGTGAAGCAGCGACTAGTCCTCGTAATGTGGCGATGGCTTACAATACGTGAAATGTTCCTTGAATGCTTTCCGTCAGTACTTTGGTCTCCCATTGTGAATGCGCTCAAGCGGCGATGCGGAATTTACGTACAATTCGCTCTTTTCAGACATACATTGGCAGATGGAAAATTATTGACCTCATGAATTTGCCTGCAGTCTTCCGCTGTGGAGCGCGCCGTCACTTTGCATTTGTCTCCCACCGCAACTTTTGATGCGTTTGTATCTTTGTACATAATTTTATCTAATGCTCATCGCTAAAATTTGACTTTTGTGTGTTAATGTGTTGTTTAAGGAAAGGGTCTCTACCGCATTTATAACTGTCGAGTAGCCCTCCGGAAACCAAGAGCACGGCCGCGATCACAAAGTCGTTTATTTAGATTACGCTTGCATGTTTATAGAGTATATACATTATTTGCGACAGTCCGCATTATTGGCTCATCCTTGTTATTTGTATTCTGTCGCTGGCTCTATTTCCATTGGCTTGCGCTTGCTCGCAACGTTCATTCTGTCTACACTTACCCTGAATTGTGTTGCCGACTTTCTGAGTGGATTGTACGATTGGTTCGGTTGGTCATTCGTCCATCAAGCCGCACGCTTCTTCCGTCAGTCCAATACCACAGCCACCTTAGCTCAATTGCGCACCAGTACGCTCCTCACAGTTACGCGTTTCGCCTGCACTTTTGGAACCTGCTAGCGTCCGCTTCGTCACTTGCACAGTGGATGCTTGCTAGGTGCACTTGCAGAGTTCGATGCGGGCGTGCGCCCACCATTTGCTGCTCAGCTGATCAATCTGCTTCCGATGACATGCTTACTTTCCGTCGGGCTAGATTGCACCTGTCTGGTAGTCCGCGAATTGCCTGACGGCGTTCGATTGGGCATCTGCCTACAGCTACCGTAGCATTTCCACTTACCAGCAGTTTCAGCCCCCTTCTCGTCCTTTCCTTTTTCGCTTTTAGAGTGGCGTTGCAATGTGTTCCGTATTGGCTTCCACTGCGTGTGCACTTAATGTCTTCAACTTGGATAGCAGGACTGGTTTCCCGTTGTGGCTGCCTATCCTCGCTTCGAAATGTCCATTCATGACACGCTCTTCTCAGTTGCACCCGATTCCGCCGAATGATGTTGCCCCCAACCTTGACTTCATAGCTCCTCTCTCCCTTCCGCCAGCATCTTTCGGATTCCCTTATTGGCTGCACCCATGCCTCTTCTCTCGTAGCTAGTGGTAGGATGCTTTTCGATCCGCCATCACAGTACTTCTTTTACCTTAGCATTCTGTTTCGTAGTCGATCGTGGAGAACATCGGTCGGCGCTATCTCGGGTTGTAGTACAGTTGTTGCGGTCGCTATTGGCGTTATTGTTCAGCGACTGAATAGATGTGCGGGGCTCGCCACGTTCACTAAAAGATACACCTATCACAGTCGAAACTACTTCATCTGCCCTGTTATATCTCTAGCATTCCCCTTGCGTAACTGCTTCTTATCTTCACAAGTGCAATCCGAAGTAAGTTGTCCCCTGAGGTTACGCAATCTGCAATCGCACCTAGTGGCCAAAGCCCTCGTGTCACTGACTCAGAAATAACTAGTACGACGTCCCTACGCCTATCGTTCCTTCCGGTTCTCATGTAGTTTCCTCACTGCAGTCGCATCGTTAAATACTTTTTGGTCCACCGCTTCCAAAATACGATCTCATGTGGTTCACTTGGAATGGAAGTGTAGGATCTTTAGCATCCCAAATGATTTTTGTCTCGTGATCCACCAGTGTCAAGCTTTTTCGATTTTAGCAGGCAACTCAGCTGCAGAGTTAACCGAATTTAGTACCTTTTCTACTGAACTAACCGAAGCTATTAACTTATACATTTGTCTTACTTCACATGACAATACGTTTGCTCCGGTGTCTGCTACGTAAATGAATTCCTTTACCAAACCATCACGTTCCACCGGGCCACCCACAAGCGACACGATTACGCAACTCGTTAACTTATTGGTTTGGTTATAACGCATTGTGTTCATACGAAACTACCAGATCTGTGCCGGCCGTCGCACAACAAGTAGGGAATCATCGGAGGGATTCAGAGCCAGCAAGTCGATTGATTCACTTTGAACCTCCCGCTCCGTATAAAGGCAGATATCCTCCGGCATGTCATGCTCGGTGGTGTCGTTTGCAATGCCGGTACCCACTAAATAATCAGACAAATTTATAGCGGTACTCGCAGCACGTATCTCTGCTCCCTGTTTCTCCACAGTGCAATACTGAGCTACCTAAGCTGTGATCAACCAACTTCTCAGCGTACAGTTGAATGACACTCAAACTTGCCTACACCAGCTTATCAGCTCTTAATAAACGCGGTTACACAACGGTGTACAGTGCCGGCTTGTATCACCCGGCAGGGTCTTAAGGGGCTTCTAATGTCACCGCATCACATGCATTCGTCACATATTTCCCACAAACTCCTCTATTCGCACAGGAACTAACCTAAGCCGAACTTCCTGTCGCTAACCGAAGGCAGTATAATCTAGACCAGATTCTTGTGGCCGATATTTTTTGCGCACTACGTGTAATAGAGGATGATGTCCTATTTTTCAACTCGAACTGCATGAGGCCGCAAAGTGACCTACATTGAGACGAACATATCCTCCACTTTCTTGCTTGATAAGTTCCCTTCGAACCAACGCTACGAAGGCTAAAATTTTTGACATACTGTGATGTTGTATTGGCCGTCGTAGACCAGACAACGAACCTTTGGCACCACTTTCGATGTCGTACAGAGGTTAATGTCATTGTTATTTCGGCCCACGGAGAATGGCCAAAATTGGATACTAAAATACCGGGTTTCGGATATTGTGAAAATCTGTCAAAATTTGTTGTGCATTATGCGCGCGTTGGAGAAAACAAATTTCGGCATATCCTTGAATGTCACTTCAATTCCTTGTTGTACAGTGGAATCAGCTATCATCGTCCATCTCAGCTTAAGGCTGCTGGGTAAGTCACTGATCACTCGTTTGCTAGTGACTATGGAGTCTACATCTGTAGTGAATTTCATTTGAGCTAAGGCGTCGTGACAATTCTCCATTTTTTCTAAATATACTGGACATTGCGTGGTGTTCGTAAGAAAACGGTTTCAAACCGGTCAGCAAACCATCAATCAGGTAGCTAGTAACAGCGTGGTTCTGCCCGAACAGATCATGGAGGGTTCCCCTAGTTTTATTTTGGGCCTCCTCGTGACAGCATCACGCTGTCTTTGATGGCTGCCTTAGCGCGGCCCTTGCATTACTAAATCGAATAAAGCGTACCCGACTTCCGCAGATCTCCAGTAGCCAACCGGATTTCTACTAAACATTTCCAGCTCTGCTCTTAGTAGGTCTGCTGACGGATAGCAAACCTCTCACCAACTGTCGTGCGATTCTTTAGGACTTGTCTCCCTTGACGTGTACTTGCGGCAATCTACCGCGAACCGCTCCAGATGTTCATTATGAGCAATTGACAACCGAGTAATCAAATCAGTGGTCTCCTGCACGTCAATTTAATTTCACTTTAATCTCTACTTAAACATTATGAGATCGAATATCGTCCGTTCCTTCTCAAGTTCTGTCACTCTTAAATATATAACAGCACTACGTTAATCTATGCTACGTCTACTCACTTAACTGTTATGTGACTCAGAGCAAGTAACCAAATCCTCGACAGCTGAAACACTTTCGACTTGCCGAGGTTCAGTCTCCTCCCTGACAAAATTCCTGAATGATTTCCCAGTTGACATAGTCCAGATAAGCAAGCGACTGCATTCAGTTCGTACGGCATTCAGAGGCAAAGGTGAGCCCCGAGGACTTATTCAACTTCATTCCAGACCGAGACACGGATGTCCAGTACTGTAAGCGACTAATTCGCTTGGAGCTCTCGTAACGCATAAAAGCCCCCGGGTCCGATCGACTAAGGAAGCCTGGAACTTGACTACCTTAATCGACAATACCTGATCTTTGCAATGTTCAAAGGGAATGCAAACTGTACTCTTCACCGTACAGAAATAGTTGTACAGTACAATGTCCACGATCGAACTACGACCTTTTATTACTTCCGCTAACCCTTTGGCTCATTGGTTTGCTATGTAGCGAATGAAGGGGAACTCGATGGGCTGGGATGGCTTGACTCTGTCAAACAAAGAGGGTGTGGGGGAACCTGGATGTGTGTACCCTGGGGCGCGAGGATGATTCAACTCTGAGGTGTGTATGCGGGTCTGGACGGGTTGCACAGTGTAAATTAGTTTCCACAGTGGGGGTGAAGTGAGGCCATGGCAGCATCGGTGTAACATCAAATTAGCGATAGTCCGTAAGCCGGCGTTCATCAAGTGTAGCAGGCATCTGTTTTGGTCATCCAGAGTGTGATCCCAACACGTGTCTTGCTTACTACCTAAGTGTTTCGTCGGTTGCCATAACAACATGTGAAATTGTGTGGGGGTCAAATAGGTTATAGGAATCCGGTGTTAAATCACGTTACTCATTTTGAGATTTCCATCATACGTCTGTCGGTCGGTAGGGGACATAGGCTGTGTGAACAGATATGTGGTGGCAGTCCAGATTTAAATCGCATTATCAATTTTGCGAATTTCTTGGTAATTTTACCACCAAAAGTCAGCCCCGAAGCCAAAGGATTTTCTTCGCATTGAGTAGCTGTTGGTCTCTTGCTCTGGTTCTCCCTGCCTTTGCTCCATCCGCTATGGGAGGCTTGCAGTATGGGAGACTTACAGTACGCCTGCACTCTCCCAATTCGGCATTTGAACTCACGGTTGTCCTCCCTGGAGCAGCATATCCAGAGATTATAGAGTCGAACTCAACAGAACCAACCACGGATGGTAAGTATTCAGAAGTGAACGTTGCCGGACACAATGTGTATTGTGCGAGCTGCAAGGAATTGGAACTCAATTAGTGAAGCACATGGCGATGAACCGCATGACTCACAGGGGAATCGAAAGTGAACGTCAAGTACCATAAATAAAACAGATGGACAGTCAGAAGATACCAACAAAAATACGCTCTATTGTGACGATATACTATACCCGTGGATGTCGCACCTTCACCATAAGATCCGTCTTCGGAGAATCAGCTGCCGGCACTACTCCTCTGTTGTATCCCTCTCTCTTACGTAACCGTCTCTCATCTTCACAAATACGGTCCGAATAAAACTATCCCCTGAGATTACGCAGTCTGTGATTGCATTTATTGGCCAATGTCCTTCTGTCAGTGTCTCAGGAACAAC